ACACCTTGCAACCAAAAACATGCAAATGAGACAAATTAGATGTTATTCCTTTTGGCAACTCATAGGGTGTTTTATTTAATTTATATCTCACATTCATCCTATTCAGAACATAACATGCAGCACTAACCGCCTCGGCCCAAAAATATTTAGGAAGTGAGTATTCTGCCAACATTGCTCAAGCGGCTTCTATTAATGTTCTATTTTTTCTTTCGACTACCCCATTCTGCTGAGGGGTTCTAGGTGCAGAAAAATTATGATCAATTCCTTTCTCCTTATAAAATTCCTCAAATTTCTCATTTTCAAATTCTTCTCCATGATCACTTTGTATAGAAATAATTTCACACCCAAGTTTTCTTTGAATCCAAGTCGAAAAATTTCTAAATTCCTCAAATGATTCTCTTAGGAAATAGACTAACTCATATGAATCTTGAATAATCATCCACAATCACAAATCCGTATATCTTCTCTCATAAACTTACAATTCCAACTGGTCCAAAAAGATCCATATGCAAAATCTCCAATGGTTTACTAGTTATAAAATTTTTATTGGACTGAAAAGAGGACTTCACTTGTTTTCCTAATTGATATGCATCACAAAGGTGGTCCTTAGTAAAGTCTAGTTTTGGTATACCTCTCACTAAGTTGAGTAATCCTCCTAAGATTTTTCATACTAGAATGACAAAGTCTCCTATGCCAAAGCCATGACTCATCAAATATAGTTTTCAAACAAAAAACAGTATGAGTTTGAATGCAATTCAAGTCTAGCATATAAACATTATTTATCATTTTACCATTCAAAATATCATTTCCATTTATGCTTAATATGCAGCTAGCAGGAAAAAATTTTACACAATATCCTTTATCATATAGCTGGCTTATACTTAATAGGTTATGATTCAAGCCTTCTACCAACAACACATTTTCAATATAAAATTTCTTGAGATTTCCAATCATACCTGATCCAATCACCTTCCTTGTGGTATTATCTCCAAGTGTAATCTTGCCTCCACCCCTGGCTTCCAGCGTTATGAATTGTGCAGTATCTCCAATCATATGCTTTGAGCATTCGCTGTCCATGTACCATATGTTCTCACGAGGTCTTGTGTGAGAGTGACCCTCTTCTTGATCTAACTGATCAAGACTATCGGCCATTAAGCACAGATTAGTGACTTCCTCTTCCTTTTCAGTCTCTGATGAATTTGAAGCTAAGTCCGCCCAAAAAGCTCTTTGGAATTTCTTCTTGCCCTTCTTTACAAAAAGTTTCTCCTCTACCTTCTCCTTGCTATGAGTGGCTTTGAGTTTTGGGCAATCTGTCTTTATGTGTCCAGGTTTCCTGCACTCATAGCAAATAACATCATTCGAAACCTTTGAATTTTTATTAAATTTACCTCTATTCCATTGCTGGCATCTCTTCTGCTTCCTCTTCAAAAAGCTTCTGAATTGTCTAGTCACTAATGCGATGTCGTCTTCATCCTCAGGTTGTGAGTATTCACTCTCAGATTCCTCTACTTTCAGTGCTATGTTCTTCTCCCTCCATGGTTCACCTGCATCAATCTTTCTTTGGCTAACTCCTTGCTCGTAAGCAATTAGCGAACCAAGAAGATTGTCAATAGAGTAAATATTTAGATCTTTAGACTCTATAATTGCAGTAATTTTAGCATCATAAGCAGTAGACAAACAACGAAGAATTTTATTAACAATTTCAGCATTCGTTAGTTCCCTACCCAATGCATGTAAAGATGTGACAATTTGTGTGAATCTTGTGTACATATCAAAAATGGATTCATTTGGTTTCATGCGAAACAGTTCATAATTATGCAATAAGATATTAAGTCTAGATTGTTTAACCTCATTAATCCCCTCATATGTTATACAAAGTCTATCCCATATATCCTTTCCACTCTTGCAAGTAAAAACCCACATGTAATCTTCTGATTTAAGTGCACAAAAGAAACTATTCAAGCATTTGGTGTTTAGTTGTGCTAAGTCACGTTCTTCTACTGTTCAGTCCACAAAAGGTATTTCAACTCTAACTCCGTCAACTAGTCTAATTGGTTTTGTATACCCTTCATGAACTAAGATCCACATATGATAATCAAGTGACTGTAAAAATGTAGACATACGTGTTTTCCAAAAATTAAAAGGTATATTGTCGAACAGTTGAGGTCTATTTCCAAATGTAGCCATCTATGTTAATCAAAAAATAGTCTAAACTTATGATTTTGAAACTAAGCTCTGATACAACTTGTTGAAACTTGTTCACTATGAGTTAAGTTGTTAAACCTAAGCTTATGTCCCAGCGGCAAACCAAGACGGGGGGGGGCGAATTGGTAATTAAAAATTTTAATCCCTCTTTTTAAAAATTAAAACCGAAAAAATTAACTTTAGTGAATTTTATAGAAAATATTTTTCAACCACAAGTTAAAAACAGTAAATCAAAAATAAAAGCAACGGAAAAATAAAAGACACGAGATTTATAGTGGTTCGGTCAAACACGACCTACATCCACTCCCCGGAAGCACCCTCCGAGTATTGCACTAATACCAATAGTGACTCTCCTTTTGCACCCACAACAAGACGGAGAAGCACTTACAAAACTCTCTTCCACCACTACCTAGTACGGCAGAGAACCGTCGTTCTTTTACACAGTGTTGGCAGAGAACCGTCCATCCTTTCACACTCTCCCGGTGTAGGCAAAGAACCCTTTGTCCTTTCACACTCTCCTAGTGTAGGCAGAGAACCCTTCGTCCTTTCATACTTTCCTAGTGTGGGCAGAGAACCCTTCGTCCTTTCACACTCTCCTAATGTGGGCAGAGAGCCCTTCGTCCTTTCACACTCTCCAAGTGTCGGTAGAGAACCGAATCTCCTTGACATATCTTCTCACAAGAAATCTAAAAGGAATAGAGAAAAGAGTGAAGTAATCAAAAACCACAAGTAGAGATTCTTACCTTTGAGTTCCAAGTGAATCTCTCACGCTCAAGTAGTAAGAAATCTCCTACAAACACTCTCTCACTCTCTCCTTGACTTTCCTTTCAATTGGCACGAAGATCATTAGGCAAAAAGATTAAGTGGCAGTCTAAATTGGACTATTTATATGAAAGATAAGAAAAATCGTCCAAAAACTGCAAATTTTCAAGTCAACACGCAGTTGATCGTCCCATACGATCGTGGATCGTCCTGTATGATTTTACTTAAATTTGTGGAAACGAACCAAATGTATATTGGTACGAACTGAAATCGTACCCGAGCATCATCCCGTACGAACTAGGTTCATCCAGTACGAACAATTATACCATAGGTCGGTTCCAAAAAACTGCAGGACGTCGCAAAAATTTGAAGAGTCGGTTCACTTCATCCTGGGACGAATATGAGTTCGTCCTGACGAAATTTTTACAGAGAACAATTTGTCCTGGGAAGAATTTGCGTTCGTCTTGACGAAAATCTTACAGAGAGCATTTCGTCCTGGCACGAATATGAATTTCGTCTGAACGAAAATTTTCCAGAGGACATTTCGTCCTGGGACGAATTTGAGTTCGTCTGGACGAAAATTTTCCAGAGAGCATTTCGTCACGAAAATTTTCCAAAGAGCATTTCTTCCTGGCACGAATATGAATTTCGTCTGAACAAAAATTTTCCAGAGAACATTTTGTCCTGGGACGATTAAATATTCGTCCTGGACGATCAGGAGTTAGAAAAATTTTCTTCAACTCCTATTCGTTCCATTGCTCTTTTAGAGAAGATAACTGACTTGATCGTCCCGTACGAACTATGTTCGTCCCGTACGATCAGTATAAATTTTTAAAGATCTCCTTAAGTGTGTGTGTGTGTGTGTGTTTATTCACTCAATTACAATCACTCCCTCTCAAACTTAATTCAAAGAAAAGTACAAGCTTCAATTCACAAAATCTCTCATGCTAAATTTGATTTGAAATCTTCAGTAATCTGGAATTTGATTTTCCTGAAATATTAGTTCACACAAAAGCAAAAACAAATCTTCCAAAAAGTGTTAGAAGATATCAATACATAAAACCGTAATATTTGGAATCATCAAAACTATGCATGTTGCAAGAATGTAAAACATGTAAATAGCAACTCTCTTAACATTTGCCACCTTGAGAGCAATGTGAGTCTTGGGAGGGGAGTATTGTTAGATCGATCCACTAGACCTGGACCGGCTTATAGACGAAACAATGAAACTTTTCCGCCTAGCCACCGAAGCAAACAAAGCATTTTAGAAAGGATTTTTTTAGAGATTTTGGAGGGAAATTTGAATGTAGTGCATGATTGTTTAAAGATTTCTTTTTGATTTATATGCATTAAATACTTTGTTCTCCTATGATTAAGGCATCTTAAATTTGGCTGAAATTTGAAATCTCCTAAATTTAATTTTTTCTTTGGGCTCTAGTGGAGTCTAGAGATTTGAGAGAGATCAATCCTCCTCTTGAATACAGGATTAATTGTATCTTGATATTTTATGTTTGCCTTTCATCAAATAATACAAATTATTTATTGTTTTTGTGCGGCTTTTTGGGGAGAATTCTTACTGTTTTCCAAAGATTAAGAGGAAATACTTGAGATCTATAAGTGTTTCCAATCATCATACTCATCTAAAAATCTACATCGACATACAACCATAGAAAGTAAACGAGAGCTGCAATTTAACCTGATTTGTTTTCCTCGCATTAGCTTTTCCTCCAATTAGCTTCAATAAACAAATACACAAACAATTTCACATTTGTTTACTAACTTCGCTTAAATCGCCAAAAAGTAATTCTCATAATTTGACTAGACCAACCAGTTCATTTCCAAGTTGGTTGCCTACTGTTTGTTGGGGAAAAATGATATTTTCAATTTATTTAAACTGGAAACATTTTGATTTTGCGAATAACACTATTTTCCATAAGCACTGGAAGTTGAAGTTAGCAGGTGACAATTCCAGCTACCGTCCATATTGAATGGAATATTCATAACAAGGGTAATGGTTATGATGGCAAATTGAGGATCGATAAGATAAGGGATGCATGTTATTTTGCGAAAAAATATTCCAAATCTTGCATCATCAAACAGTTTGGTTTTCACAGAAAATACCTAAATCATATAGACAATAAAAACGCATGGGTGCAACCACAGATATGTTGCTCGGTTTGCTGAAAAATGAAGATAAAATTTCTGTTAGGGTGTTCGATTGATTTGATGTAGCTAACCATATTTGAACTATACGACAAAGGAAAAGAAAGCCACATTCACCTTTATATTTAATCAAGATCAAGATTTTCAAGAGCTGGTATTCTTCTAAACCTTGCCCCTAATCTCCAGTCTGAAGGTTTGGTAGTTGTTTCAGCCCCTGATCTTTTGCGTTTGAATGAAAAGCATTCCTGACCAGATATTAAATTTAGAAGATCACCCGTGTCCATTGTCACCTGCTTCTTCTTATGAGCTTCCTCCTTGAAGAATCTGTCCATAGAGAAGATATCATAAATTCTCAATTATCTTACAGGGACCTTTGCAACCGAAGAATAGAATAACCAAAGCAAAGTGACAGAGACCAAAAGGTTTAAAAAATAGTTAGCTTGTACGCTCCATGATTTAGATTAAAGGAGCTTAAGAAAAACATAATGGAAAGAGAACTTATAAAAATATATGCTCGAGGAAGAGAAGATAAATAACTGATGGTTGAATGAAAAAGTAGAGGCTAGTAAAATGGAAAATGAAAGCTTCAAGTGAGTATATGATAAGAGAGAGAGAAAGAGAGTGCGAGTGTGAGAGACAGATAAGTTGAGAAATTATGCTTAATTCACTCTAGTTCATAATCAAACAATAGTACCAACATATTTTAAGAAACAGAAAGAACATTTAATTATTTCTTATAGTGGATCAACTAAATCACAATTCACCAACAAAAACAAATAAATCGTTCGTATAAAAATTTTCAGGTAATCCAAGTAAAAAGTATTAAGCTTACGACAGTGGCAAGTTGTTGGGGATATTGATCATGAAAGTATAAAAGAAATTGCAAAAAGAGGTTAATTAATTGAAGAAAGGTAAGTACCCAAAAGAAGAGGCATCCAAAAATAAGTGGGTAAAAGAGACAGATTGAAACTATAGAGTTAAATCAAACTTAATGTGAAGAATGACTGTGTGCATTAAGCATATTTTTTTAAAGTTCAACAAGAGTCAATATAAACCTTTTACAAGAGAGATTTAAATACTTGGAAGATATTGAACATTTTTAAACATAGCAATCTATAAATAGAATTAAAACAACAAATACAAGGAATCCAGAAGAACTGCAAAGTGGATGATATGTTGAGCAAAGACTGGCTTGTGATGTTTTATTTACATGCTAGAATAATATAAGTTTTTTTAAAAATAAAAAAAGAAGATTATGAGATAGACGGAATAGTTAAGGCAAGATAAATGATCCACAAGCTTTGATCAAATTAGTTGTATTTAAAGTAGACATATAGGATTTTTTCTAAAGAACAAGAAGTAAAGGAGGAAATTTTATCTTCAGAAATCACTTAATGAAAGCACAAAGAAAGACAAAGAACAAAATAAGGGAAACTCTTTGTGGAAATAATGGGCTCAATCAATGAGGCGGACTGCAGCCTTTCTCAGATTTAAAAACAATTATGGCTACTAGATATCAGGAACCAAATATGAAGGAATGCAAGGTGCCTAGCTGACAACAATCAAAAATAAATTAAAGCTGCTTTTTTAAATCAGGAAACCAATTCTGGATTACAACTTCTGCCTAGTTGATTATTACCCCTGTAGGAATGGAAACCCAACTGTTGTCCCAACTGAAATCCGGGTGAACCTGGACATCTGCCCACCAAGTCCAAGCAAGGAACCAGAACAGCTGCCCAGTACATGCATCAAAGAAAGCTATCACATGCAAATTCCCTCGTTACGTATTTCTTTATGAAGAAGAATAATATCTGGTATTTATTTGCTATCAATATAGTTTGTTGTTTTTTCATTATTTTCCCTCCTATAGGAAGCTACAATTTTCCCTCTTTGGTCCACTAAGTAGGCCTAGTATCCTCTACAAGAATTGTAATTTGTCCTCACTAGGATAAGAAAAAATAGTATTTGTTTTCTATATTTTTCAACAAGTATCATAGTCATCTCCTCTAACCATATTATTCCTCTAGATTCTCTAGTCCTCCTTGTTCATCTTCCATCTAAACTGTGATAATATTTAAACATGAAATGGCTTCTAATGGGAGCTTTTCATCTCATGCCATGTCCAATCCTGAATCATTTCCTCATGGCAAACTCGACAATCAAGAAAACTTCTCAAATCCATCAGTTACGCAGCAGAAGTTGAATGCGTAAAACTATCTTCAATTAGGTCAAATCAATTATAATGTTCATTACCGGAAGAGGAAAATATGATTTCCTCCAAAAAAAGATGATTCAATGTTCAAAATATAAATACTCTAACAAGAAAAATATTGTAGAGTTACTTCAAATCAAATATGCTCTCCATGATAGTTGACAACATAAGCTCTCTATCACCCAATATTATAATACCCTCACCCAGTATTAACAACAACTATATGTTTTTGAAGAACAAGATTGACAGTGTTCAGAAGATGCTATAACACATCATATGATTGTTGAGAAATATAGGATTTTCAAATTTCTTCTCCAACTACATAAAAGTCTTGCTGAAAGTCTGAGGTAGGATACAACAACAACATCAAGCCTTTGTCCTACTACGTGAGGTCAGCTACATGAATCCTTTTTTGTCATTGTGCCTGTTAAAAGTCAAATTCTCATTTAAATCTAATAAAAAAATATATCATTTCTAATATTTTATAACCAAATCTTTTTAGTTCTACCTCTACCTTTCTTAACATAAGTAAAATCTAATATCTCAACTTTCCTAACCGGGTCATCAAAAGGCCTCCGTTTAATGTGACCAAATCTTATCTTCCACTGGAGCTACTCCAACCTTTTCACGTATATGCTCATTTTGTATCCTATTGTGGGCTCCGAAAATTCGGCCCCGGCCTCCGCTCGCTTTTCTTTTATTCGGCGAGGGAGTTTTAACTGAATAAGTTCCGAGGTAAATTTTGGAAGGCATATGTGTTTGTAGATAAGACACTACCCAGAGATTTCGCCCTCATTTTGTGAGGACTTTATGATCTGAGTTCTGGTTTCCTATAGGCGCAAGCCCCTATAGTTAATTACCCCTCCCGATCACGAGAGAGAACTTTCGATTAAGGCTAGTCGTCAATCAGATAAGTATAGAATACGTGTTATCTGGTATATAGTAGCAGCATAGGTTTAGGTATTTGAAATGTTTGGAAGTTTGGGAATTTGAAAAGGTTTGAAAAGTTAGATATTTAAAATAGAAATTGCACCATATTGCACTTAAAGCGGATGGTGGGAGAATGTATGATAGACCCGATCAAGATCCCATGGTTCCATCGTCCTGGGCCATCGTGGTCCCTGGTCTACTTAGTCAGAGGAGGTAGTCGACCCAACCTGACAGAAAGATCCTTGTCGGCAGCCATGGGTTGCTTCGTTCAAGGGGACCTTGTAGACCTGGGGTGAATGTTTGCCTAAGGGGACAAATTTGAATACACCTTAGCTAACAGAGGACTTTGTGCCCTATCGATCATATCATATTGATTCATATCTCAAGGATTTGATGTCAATAAGGAACGTAATGGCGCTGGCCATAACCGGTATTTCATGGTGCCATTTGGCGGCAAAACCACTCGGTTCAGAGGGCCCCGGGTCATAACCGTTTATCCTGCGATGCCATTTGGCGGCAAAACCGCCAGTTAGAGGACACCTACCACGTCCTTACTGGCAGGAGATTGTTTGAGAATGGATCCTAGTGATATTTTCGACCAGGCATTTGACTCTTTGTGAGCTGAAGTAGTTTTTAATTTGTCCACCCTGACAAACTGTTGTGGAGGGTGGATGGAATTTACTTTAAGTGGTTTGATAGATAGATTTCAATTTTAAATATCTTTTTGGATTTTTGGGATTTTGAGATCTTTTGGATTTTTGGATTTTGGATTTTTATGGGTATTTTGGGTGGAGCTTTGGAATATCTGGAATGAACTTTGGATATTTAGGAGACATTTGAAAATATTTGAGAACCCCTCCGGTTGAGATCTGCATTCAACACAGCCATCATCGGGGTGTTTGGGGTCATTTCTTTTTGTAAATTGAATCTTGTCAACTCTATTGAATTATTGATAGAGGATCGGATTTCGTAGGCTTTATGCCCTTGATAGTGAATTAGTATTGTTATAGACCTTTGAAGGCCTAATATGAATGTATTTCACAACCGTATATTTGTTTGTTGGTTCGAACCCTGTCGACTTCTATTGACCAGTATAGAAGGATCGGTTTCGAACTTGAATTCACTTGTCAACCCGCGCAGCATCCCTAGAGGTTACGTGTGTACCAATACCACGCTCGCTGGGGCCCATGCGGGTTTGGGGGCATTTTATAATTAAACCCTGTCGACTGTTTTTTACCTGCTAAAGAGAAGCTGGTTTAAAATTTGATAACCCGTGCAGCATCCTTAGACGTCACGTGTGTACCAATAACACGCTCGCCGGGGCCCATGCAGGTTTTGATTACAATTACCTCTTTTAGTGTACCTATGTGTATACAAGCTACGGTGCATGTGCAGGGGTATTTTGAAAGTATTTGTAGACGCCTTTTATCCGCTTGTATGAATGTTGCGGATCCGGTGGCGTGGAGTAGCAGCTTTTGGATCAGTTGTTTGCTGCTTTGTACAGATAGACTGTCGTGCACTATTTGTTAATTTTTGTAGGCGGATCATAGTGCACTAACTAATCTCCTGCCTTTGTTCGTAGGAGCTTGCACTTTTTTGAAGCTCTTCTGTATTTTTCTTGTGGATAGCTTGTTGTGTATGACGGGTCTCCTATGAAGGCCCATACGTATTTGCATTTTGCTATGTGTCATCTATTTTTGTTTGTAGATGGCATATGGTGCATATGACGGTTCTTTTACAAGGACCCGTAAGTATCTCCCTTTACTATGATCTTCCACATTTTGCCTTCTAGGAGTTTATCTCCCAAGTATTTGTAGAATATTCATCGTCGTTGCCCCATGTTTATTCCACCTCACGTCGAATCTTTCTTGTTGTACTGACATGCTTATTGTGGTGTGGGTCTCTTATAACATATCTATCTTTCTTATTGAAAGTAGATCGTTATGTGCTCGCTTACATACTAGTCCGTATTGATGGCAAAGGATCCACTCCTCTCCCTTACTTTGTTTGTGGACATATCACTACAAGCTCCTTGTTACTGTTCATGCATATTTCATTGTGTGTGTTGTTATTGACATGCATGTTACTCTTGCATTTTCTTGTTCATTGCATACAAGCCTTTTTATTTACTCATTAGCATTTGATCTCATTCGTGATTGTATCTTCTTGGAATTGAATTGTT